TGGGCTGGGGGAGACAGGGCTGTCCCTCCCTGTGCCCCCCTGGGGGTCCCTGTGTGTCACTGGGCACTGGCACCGTCCGTGTGAGCTGGGTGGGTGCTTGTCCCCGTGGAAGTGTGACAAGTGGGGCCTTGTTTGGGGACAGAGCCCTGGTCGCTGTCCCAGGGCGTGACCCCTCACCCCTGGGGATCCAGCCCTGATCCACCCCCTCGGGCTCCGTGCGGTCCCTCGGGGTCCGGCCCTGCCCCTGACCCTGTCCCACCCCAGACGACAAACAGGTGCTGCAGAACCTGAAGCGAATCTTGGCCAAGGTGCAGGAGATGCGGGACCAGCGGATGTCCTTGGAGCAGCAGCTGCGGGAGATGATCCAGAAGGACGACATCACCACCTCGCTGGTCACCACCGACCGCTCCGAGATGAAGGTGGGGCTGGGGACGTGCCCGTTCCCCCGCGGGGGCTGCTCCGGCCCCGAGCCCCACGGACCCTCCCCTGTCCCGGCAGAAGCTCTTTGAGGAGCAGCTCAGGAAGTACGACCAGCTGAAGGTGTACCTGGAGCAGAACCTGGCGGCGCAGGAGAACGTGCTCAAGGCCCTGACCGACGCCAACGTCAAGTACGCGGCCGTGCGCAAGGGCCTGGCCGAGGTGGAGCACAAGTGAGTGCGGGGGGCTCAGGGCCCAGCGGCAGGGCTGGGCTCACCCCTGCCTTCCCCCGTCCCACCCCGGGGCTGGGAGCCGTGCCGGTGCTTTGTCCTGCCCCCGTGTCCATCCCAGTGGGAGCTGGTGGGTCACCCGGGAGCCTGGAGCTGGGACCAACCTTTACACCGGTAGTCCATCCCCTCCCTGCCCCTTTCCCAGGTGGAACACCACCGTCCAGACGCTGGTGGCCTCCTACGAGGCCTACGAGGACCTGATGAAGAAGTCCCAGGAGGGGAAGGATTTCTACACGGACCTGGAGGGGAAGGCGGCCAAGCTGCTGGAGCGGGCCCGGGCCGTGTGCCAGGCCAGCCAGGCCCAGCGGCAGCAGCTGCTCGAGAGGTGGGTGCTGCCCAGAGCCTGGGGGGCTGCTGAGACCCCCGGGAGGGGGGAAGGGCCTCGGGGTGCTCTGCGTGGTGGCTCGGGGGTCCCGGTGCCCATGGAGGGGGTGGTGGGCAGGCAGTGCCCAGCCCCCCTGAGCCCCACCTGCCCCCCCAGGGAGCTGAAGAAGCAGCCGCCCCCCCGGCCCACGGCCCCCAAGCCCCCCCTGCAGAAGAAGGCGCTGGAGCTGGAGCCCGGGGGCTCCGAGGCCGCAGATTTGGGCTCCCTGGGGCTGCCGGACCTGCCCGAGGAGCTGCGGAGCCTCCCCCCGGAGCTGCTGCCCGGGCCCTTGGCACAGCTGCCCCCCCCAGCACTGGCCGCCCTGGCTGGGGGGCTGCGGCCCCCCGAGCCCTTCGTGCCGCCGGGGGGGGTGGCCAGTGCCCCGCTGCCCCCCCTGGCCCCCACGCCCCCGTTCCCGGGGCACTACCGTCTGCCCGGGCCCCCCGGCCCCTTTCCCCCCGCGGGGGGGGCCCCGGGGCAGCTCCTGCAGCCCTCGGCCCCCACCGGGCCCGTGCCCAGCTCGGCCCCGGCCCCGCCCCAGCTCTTCCCGGCCGCCCCCCTGATCCGCGCTCCGGGCCAGCCGGCCTTCGGGGGGCCCCACGTGCTGCCCCCGCGCTCGTCCCCCCAGCACGGGGCCCTGCCCGCCCCCGCCTACGGCCTGGGCCAGCCCGGGGGGGCCCCCGGCCCGCTCCGCCCCCCCGGCCCGGGGGCAGCTCCCCTGGGTGCCCAGCCAGGGGTGGGCGGCCCCGAGCCCCCGGGCGCCCGCCCGGCCACCACCACGGTGGACAGCGTGCAGGCCCCCATCTCCAGCTGCACCGCCCCTCCGCGGGGACCCCCGGGCCCCTTCCTGCCCCCCCAGCGCCCGGCGGGGCCCCCGGCCCCCTTCCCCTACCCCGCGGGAGGGGTTCAGCCCTTCGTGGCGCCGGCTCAGCACCCCTTCCCCCCGGCACAGCCCCCCCACACCTTCGCCCCCGCCCAGGCCCCCCAGCAGTTCCCCCCGGGGCCGTTCCTGCCCCCGGGCTCGGCCCAGGCCCCGCTGCCCTTCCAGCCGCCCCCCCGGCCCTCCCTCGCCCCCCCAGCCCAGTTCCCCCAGCAGCCCTTCGCCGGTCCCGGGGGGCAGCTGCCCCCCCCCGCCCCCGGGCAGCCCCCGCTGCCCCCCCAGCTCTACCAGCTCCCGGGGCAGGACCAGCTGCCCCCGCCGGGGCTCGCCCCGCACCCGGGGGCCGTGCCCTTCCCCAGGGCCCCTGCCCAGGGCGGTCCCGCGGCGCTGGGGGGGCTCCCGGCCGTGCCCCCCGGCTCCCCCGCGCTGCCCTTCTGCCCCAGCCCGGCCCCCCCCGGCACTCAGCTGCCCCCCGGGTCCATGCCCGCCCCCGCCCAGGCGCCCCCGCCCAGCCCCGTGCCGGGCACCGTGGTGGTCCAGGGCCCCCTGGTGCCGTCCCCGGCCCCCTCCCCGGTGCCGGCCCTGCCCGTGCAGCCCCCGGCGCCCCGTCCCCCGCCCGCGCTGCCTCCGCCGGGCGCGGGGGACGCGCCGTTCCCGCGGCAGAGCCCCTGCCCCGCGGACCTGCTCTCGTCCAGCCCTGAGAGCCAGCCCGGCGGGGCGGCGGCCGGGGGGCTGCTGCAGCCCACCAAGGCGGGCGCGCAGGAGGGGCAGCGGCCGCGGGCCGTGCAGGTGATCGAGGCGGACCCGTACGCGGAGCCCGAGCGGGTGCAGCGGCTGCGGGCCGAGCTGGAGCGGTTCCGGGCCGCGGCCGAGCGGCTGGAGCGGCCCGTGCCCGGCGGCGGCTCCGAGCTGGACGCGCTCTGGAAGGAGCTGCAGGAGGCCCAGGAGCGGGACGCCCGCCAGCGCTCCATCGCCATCGCCCGCTGCTACTCCATGAAGAACCGGCACCAGGACATCATGCCCTACGACCGCAACCGCGTCGTGCTGTGCTCGGGCAAGGACGACTACATCAACGCCAGCCGCGTGGAGGACCTGTCCCCGTACTGCCCCGCCCTCATCGCCACCCAGGCCCCGCTGCTCGGCACCGCCGCCGACTTCTGGCTCATGATCTACGAGCAGAAGGTCTCCGTGGTCGTCATGTTGGTGTCCGAGCAGGAGCTGGACAAGGTGCGTCCTGTCCCGGGTGAGGGACAGCGGGGGCGGCCGGGGCGGGGCCCCCGGGGATGGGACACCCTGCCTGCTGCCTCTCGCCCTTGTGCCGCTCACGGGTGTCACCGGGGGGCCCGTGGGGGGAGCGGCCCCGGCAGGGTGTCCTGACGCCCGTCCCCCGACAGAAGGTGCTACGGTACTTCCCGTCGGAGCGGGGCCAGCCCGTGGCTCACGGCCCCCTGACCCTGGTGCTGACCAGCCTGCGGGTGACCCCCACGCACGTGGAGCGGATGCTGACGCTGCAGTACCGCGACCAGAGCCTCAAACGCACCGTGGCCCACCTCCAGTTCACCTCCTGGCCTGAGCTGTACGGAACGGGCGGGCAAGGGGGGCTGGGGGCGTACAGGGGAGGGCCTGGGAGGCCTGATCTGCTGGGGGGGCTGTGGGACCAGAGCTCCGAGTGTGGGACGGTGTTTGGGCAGCCCTGACACCTCCTGGGGGGGCTGAGTGCAGGGATTCCCCAGTGAGCGTGTCCCCCCCAATCCAGGGGCCTGCCCGACAGCAAGGGGAGCCTCCTGCGCTTCATCCAGGAGGTGCACGGGCACTACCTGCACCAGCGCCCGCTCCACACGCCCGTCGTGGTGCACTGCAGGTGAGCGGGGACGGGGCTCCCGGGGCGGGGTGGGGTCCCCCCTCGTCCCTCGGGGTGTCACAGCCGAGGGTCTCTCCACAGCTCCGGCGTGGGTCGCACGGGGGCCTTCTGCCTCCTGTACGCGGCCGTGCAGGAGGTGGAGGCCGGGAAGGGCATCCCGGACCTGCCGCAGCTGGTGAGGCGCATGCGGCAGCAGCGCAAGCACATGCTGCAGGAGAAGGTACCGGGCAGGGCTGCAGCCCCTCGGGGGCTGGGGGCAGGGGCTGCAGCCCCCCGGGCTCTCACCGTGTCCCTCTGCCCTGCAGCTGCACCTCAAGTTCTGTTTCGAGGCCGTCCTGCTCCACGTGGAGCAGGTGCTGCTGCGCCACGGCGTGGGGACCCCCGCGCTGCCCAAGCCCCCCAACAGCACCTCACCCAAGGTGGGTACGGGGGGGAGAACCGGGGGGCTGGGGGGGCTCTGCCACCCCTGGGCTCACGGGGCTGCTCTCCCCCAGCTCTACTTCCAGCAGGACCCCCAGGACCTGGTGCTGGGGGGGGACGTTCCCATCAGCTCCATCCAGGCCACCATAGCCAAGCTCAGCATCAAACCGGGGGGGCCCAGCACGGAGCCCGGGGGGGCCTGGGGGGCGGACCCCACCTCCCCTCCGGACCCCACGGACCCCGAGGTGCCGCCGGTGCTTCCCGACGGCGTCGTGGACGGTGTCGGTGCCCCCCTCCCCGAGCCCCCCGCCCCGGGGCCGCCCCTCCCCGAGGCACAGGGTGACGCCGAGAGCAGCAACCACGTGGGGGACAGCCCCGAGGGGCCGGGGGGGCCACCAGAGCCTCCCGCCGCCCCCCCTGCCTCCTCCTCCTCCTCGCTGGAGCTGCTGGCGTCGCTCACGCCCGAAGCCTTCAGCCTGGACGCCTCCCTGAAGGGCAAACAGCGCATGAACAAGCAGAACTTCCTGCAGGCGCAGCCGGGCGAGGGGCTCCGCGGGCCCCGGCCCAGCGACGACCCCCTGAGCATGCTCGACCCCCTCTGGACACTCAACAAGGCGTGAGGGGGGCGGGGGCCCTCGGGCCCCCCCAGCTCCACTTTGACTCCAGGTAGAACTGACTTTTTCAGCTCTTTGCTACTAAAATAAAGCGAGTTTATCGGCCGGGCGCTGGTGCTGCTGTGGGCGGGGGCTGTGCCCCGGGGGGCTCAGCCAGGCTCGGGTTAGTTCCGTTTAATGGGCGTTCTCGCACAGTTATAAAACACGTCGGTACAAAAAGCGTCCCCTGTACGGCACAAAGGTACAGCTGGGCGAAGGCCACCCGCGGGGCCGGCCTGGGGGGCCCCGTGCCGGGCCGGCACCGCCTCTACAATCACCGGGGGTCGAGAACAGGCGTCATCGGCGTTCGGGGGGCACGGCAGGACGGGCGGGACCCCCGGCCTGGGGAGGGGCTGCAGCGGGGCCTGTAGTGCAGCGGGGAGGGGAGTGCAGCCCCCGGCCCGCAGTGGGTGGGGGGCTCTGGGGGCAGCCCCGTGCCCGGGGTGGTGCCTGCCCATGGTTGGTCCCACTCAGGGGTCCCTCCCCAGCACCTGCAGGAGCGTGGGCGAGGCTCCCGCCCCTCCCAACCTGAGAAAAGCCTCCTCTGGCCCCGCAGCAGGAGGAGGAAGGTGCTCTATTGCTGCAAACGGGGTGCAGGAGGGACCGGGCAGGGCGGCTGTGCCGGGGTGAGGGGGGTGCTGGCCCCCCTGCCCCAATAAATAATAACTATTTACAGCATATAAATAAATAGGGCAGGGCTGCTGTGGCCGGGGTGGGGCTGGGGGGCCCTGCCACGCCCTAAGGCACGTGGGGGCTGAGCCCCGCCCGGGGGGTCGGTCCCGGCCCTCTCCCCGCTGCCCCCGGGGCTCTCCGGGGGCTGTTCCGTGCCCTGGCAGGTCAGTGCTGGGAGCCACCACCACTGTCCCCCCCTGCCCTACCCTGTGTCCCTCTGTACCATCCCTGGGAGCCCCCGGGACGGCAGGGAAGGTGCTGGAACAGGGAGAGGAGCAGGAAGGTGGGGCCCTGCCGGGTGTCTGAGCTGGGGAGGTGCCGGAGGCACGGCCGGAGCGATGGAGCTGCTGTCCCGTCCCCTCGGGCCGAGCCCCCCTCGGTCCCGCCTGCCCCGCTCCTGCTCAGTCCAACTTCTCGAGCACGGAGGGCACGTAGAGCAGGCTGAGCTCGCTGCCGAAGTTGCAGACGATGGCGGCGTTGTCCAGCACCAGGATCTGCCGCGCCGGCTGCGCCTCGTTGCTCTTGCCCAGGTACACGGTCTGCAGCAGGTCCCCGTAGCCGATGTCCCAGAAGGACACGCAGCCCTGGCCCCCCGTCACCAGCACGCTGTCCGAGATGACGCCCAGGCTGGCACCACAGCCCAGCTCCTGTGGGGGACGGGCAGGGAGCTGAGCCACGGGCTTGGCATGGGAGAGCCGAGCCCTGGTTCTGGGATGGGGACATCTGAGCCCTGGGGGTTTGGAATGGGGCAGAGCTGAGCCCTAGGGGTTTGGAATGGGGCAGAGCTGAGCCCTGGGGGTTTGGAATGGGGCAGAGCTGAGCCCTGGGGGTTTGGAATGGGGCAGAGCTGAGCCCTGGGGGTTTGGAATGGGGCAGAGCTGAGCCC